TGGGATAGAGCCACAGATGGTTTGTCCAGGAGGTGGCAGGGAGGCTGGCTCCCTGCTGCTGTGTGCAGTCCTGGAGAGGGGAGCATGGGGAAGGCACATTCCCCACCAGATTTATGCGCAGGGTTGGGGAAGATGCGGGCTGTCCTCTGCAGGGCTCGGGGCTCCCCACCTTGCTGCCCTCCCTCAGGAAAGGATTTCAGGCTTTGCATCCCAAGTGGACAAAGGTGCCTGCCTGCAGATCTGAGTCAGGTGCTTAAGTTTCAGAGAAAGGTGGTGGAAGCTCAGGCACATATCTGCTGAGTATTTCCTGTAGACTGCTTCTAAGATGATCTCTGCTCAGTGAACATATTCTTTGGATCACTCATCTGCAGTGCTTACCTCTGTATATGGAACCTAGACATCTAACTCTGGATTTTAGTTTCTACTCAAAGGGACAGGCACCTTAAAGTCTGGCAATGCAGCAACTAGCTAAGTCTTTTATTGGATCTAACCCATCAGGCCTGATTCTGCCATGTTGAAAGTAATGGGATTTCTACTACTGATTTTTGTGGGAATAAGTCTGCTTTCTCTATTATCAGGCCTCCTGTGTCCGACTATTCTTATTGGGTCCTCAGAGTGAAAAGAATCTAAATTAGAGCCATTTATATTGTTCAACAGTTGTTTAAAATAAGACATAATGTGAGAGTTATTTCAACAAGGACTATAGAATCAACAGATCATTTGCAGCTGTAGATTAGAATTGCCTTTGGCATTTCTTCTTATAGTAATTCATATTGCAAACCCTAATTTTTGATGCCCTAGGTAGATAGGGCATCTCTGGCAGTTTTGCCTTTCTGAATGAGGAGTAAAACATGCAGAGGAAAATGTGTTAAGAAGCAGCATCTGTTTTGTTTGCAGAACTGCAATAAATAGTCCTAAATATTTGATTGCAGAGCTGAATTACAAAACTTTGTGGATTATTATTTTCTGTTCATATGATCCCATGATTACTGTGAAATTCTTAAGCTTGCCTGACTCAAGTTTTTATCTGGAATCCGAAAATCTCTGAGGTTTGTTGAAACTTTGTGACCCTTAGATGACTTTCAGCTCTAGATTTCCCTCCACTGGCAAGCAGGTCTTCATAGACTACTTTCTTTCTTTTCAGTCAGCTTCTGGAAGTTATGGGTTAGTAGCCTTTTCTTGAGGGTTGTCAGCTGGTCAGTGGCTGATTCATTCCCCTTCCTAGATTCACAATCGGTATCCTTCTGTCTTATTGTTCCATCCTGGTTCCTAGATAACTAATAAATACAGTTCTACCACCACAAATATCTGCTTCTGCTTAAAAGTTTACCTCCAGAGCTTTCTGTCTTCACTTGACTAGGACTAAACAAGAAACATGGGGATGTATCTCGGTATGAGAAATTCAGTAACCTCAGTAGGAACATATCATACCTGGTGGGTGGAGATCACATCTGCATGACAAACTCCTTTGCTGAACTAGGTTGCTGTTTGGCTGGCATTCAGACACCACAGAGATGAACACGATGTTGGTACAAGATAGAACAGAACACACAAACATCAGAGAAACAGCAAAACAACCCTTTCCTCCCTTCTCCATTCCCCAACAAGGCAAAGGGGAGAAGAGAGAAAGGCCAGAAGTCAGCTTCCTTACTCCTAGAAGACAATTTCAGGTAAGGTATGTAAGAGGGAGACTGTATCAGCTGGGACAGAAACACTTACGGAAAAGAGCATCAGGATAAGCTTTATTAATTGAGTCACTTGACAGAGGATTCCAGGGTACACTCTGGTTTTAATGTTTCAGATGAACCCAGGTATATTGCTAAGGAAGTTCACTTTAAACAAGTAAGAACCAAACCTGGCAGAACTTGCATAAGATACTGAGTTAAAAGGTTCTACTTTTCATTTGTATTCTCTGGCTTTAACTGTAGCTATTTTTTCCTTTGCTTGTGATTTTTCCATTTTAGAGTTCTGCTCAGTCCTTTCCAAGAAGAACCACAGGCACCTCTGGTTTGCAGGGTACACTTAATGTTATTTTTTTCTAGTAAATTAGACCAACTCACAAGTAAAGAAAAAATAGGCTGTATGAACTTGAACACAATGGTTGTTTAAACAAACAAACAAAAGACCATATTTACACTTGGCACAGGCAGAGTAAAATTACTTATTCTTACATAAATATATATTCACCAGTGTGCAGGTCCAGCTGAAGCACCAGTTGAAGCATGTCTGGCAGGGGTTCAGCTGGCCAGCGTAGGGCCACATTAGCCAGGGGAGAAGCGGGTAGGCAGGGTCCCCAATGAGGAGGGGAGGAACCACCACTGCGCCCCACTGGATATCCGGCACCCCTAGTGAGAAGTGCCTGCTCTCCACTAGGGCTGGCAGGGTGGAGTTGTGGAAGATACCAGCATCATGGTGCTGCCTGCCCAGCTGGAGTTCACATTGGTTAAGGTGCCACAGTGGTGGACAACATCCTGGAGCCACAGAATGAAAGCTCCGCCGGCTGTAGTAGGGGCTGTCACTGTGGGGTGGGTAGGTGACAAGGATGTGGGTCCTGTCTAGGGCCCCTATGTACTGAGGGAAGCCTAGGGCACATGTTACTCAAATTGCCAATTGTTCAAATTACAAGCAAGACTCTGAAAAGGGGGATAAGGCAGAATGCCACATTTATTAATTACATGAGTTAGACATAGAGGTTTGGACACACCATTTATACAAACACACACAAATCATCATACACATCATTACACACAGGCATACACATACACAAAACAACCATTCTATCCACACATACACCAGATATAGTTACCAGCAATAGTTGCTCAATATCAGCCCAGGGTGGCTAACCTGGCTTTATTGCGTAGATGACGATGATTTAAAGACAGCAGATTTAAAGATAACAGCTGGAGCGGGGTGAACAGATGCACTGTGCTCCGATGAAACAGCAGTAGAGAAAGAGACACACCCAGCTTGGCATTTTCAAAGTGTTCTTTTATAGGGATTGGCATCCTTTGTTTCAGTGCTTTAGTTTTTTTCCATACCTAGCTTCTGTTTTTTGTGGTTGTTTTTTTGTCTCCAACTTATCTTAGCCTTGGAGTGTTCTTCCTGCCCGTCTGGCAGGATGGGTGCATTCCTTCTCCTTGTTATCTTCATTGTGCCCTAGGCCTAAAAGGGATTCTTCAGCCATTCATTAATTAGTTTACTGATTGGTAACTTACAGTTGGTGCCTTGTTGCTTACATAAACAGTTAAATCTTCTTCTCCTGGCTCTGTGCCATTCTCTCACCATCTACCCTGTTACACACTCTCATACATAAAGGCTATGCAGAGTTCATTCACTTATGTCAAGCAGAAGGATACAAAATGGAGTTTTAAAGTTGCTTACAGGACAAGACTAACATGGTTATATTTCACTATTACTACACTCTATGTTAACATCAGCTACATTAGTTCAGTTCATGCTACACACAGAACTCCACCACTACAGCTGGGGCTCATGCTTTAGAATAAGGCTACATACCAGCATTATGTTTCTATTGGGAAATCAAAGCTCTCCTGGCAGAAATCACAAGTGTACAAATGCTCACAGAGTTTCTCCTGGAATAAAAATGATGGTTCCAGAAGAAAAATAACCCATCTCCAACCAGATAGAAGTTCCTCCCAGGATATTGTCTCCTGGGAGAATGAATGCTGGTAAACTTCCCTGCAGCTTGACACCTAGGACCAGGAGGAGTGGAGCCAATGAGGAAAGAATCCCTTGCCTTGTAGAAACTAGAGCAACCACAGTCCGAAAAAGTTGCCAGGGGCAGCTATTCCCACTCTCCTGCCTGGGAGGGGAGCAGAGGTATTGCCACCCACTCCTTCCTGACAGCTCCTCACATTGGGGTCCCTGGTGTAAGAAGTGGCTGGGGGCTTTGCCTTTCTGCTTAGTTTACTCAGAGGCACTTGCAGACTGAACATCTGTAGTGCTCCCTCTCCTGGCCTAAGGTCTGGGTCCAAGTGCTCCACTTAAAACTCCTGGCTTCTATATCCCTAAATCTTTCCTCCATTCGGTGCCCAGAACCATTCCATATCTTCTCTGGTAATCTCTTTGGCTATTTTCCCAGGCACGTGACATGGACACACAGAGTCCCCTTTGATATGGACTCGGCTTCTCTTAGCGCAAAGCCCTTAATCTTGAAGTCTAACACCAGAGCTGAACATGAACAAATGGATCTTTTGTTGATTAGGTTCCCCTGGGTTACCAAAACACAAATTTTATACTGAATACTGTGTTTCATACAAACATATAAACGAGGGGTGTCACAGGCTGGATCCAGCTATGGAGGTGGCTTCTCTGGCCTGTGGGGCTTCTTGTGGACTGGAAGCCCCACCACTATGGAGTAGTTTCAGCCTGCAGGACTTGCCACCACAGTTGTCAGAGGCTCTGTGTCTGTGCAGCTCCGGAGCCAATCAGTTAATGTGGCTACCTACTCCCCACCCCTGCCTTATCCACCTCTGAATTTGGTAGTCACTGTTGGCAAGTAAAGTCAGTGGCAGGAGGAAGTGGGGGTGGTGTGGGTGGCCTTGTTAACCCCTATAACAGCTGCCCCATACTGTAGTTCCAGTAGCTATGGGGATTAACTGTGCTGCTGCCAGCATTCACAGGTGATCCAGTTTATGAGACACCCCAAGGCTTCAACACCCCTAATATAAATGATTTTTAAAAATCAAGCTCATTATTAGCTATTGATAGAGACCAAATATGATAGTAGTTAGCTCAACTTAGGGGGATAATTGTAAAATGACCTAATGCAGATTTGGGTACCCTATTTAAAATCCTCGACTAGAATCTATTACTGAATGCTTATATTTAGAAAAGAAGAACTGCCATCAATTTCTTTTTGTAATAATGCTTGCAAAACATCTGTGGTGAGGCAAAGTCCTCTTCACACAGGAAGACTGAGTTAACTTGGTGAATTCAGTCATCCTACTTAGTAGCACAAATGAAGACAGAGTGAAACATAAGAAGCTTGACAAACCAGTGAGTATTGTCACCTTTTTTCCTTTTATTTATGTGCCTTACTGATTGGAAACATAGAATAAATAATGA